GCACCCTTAAGGGTCTTTAAGGACTAATGCAATATCCAGAGATGACTTAAGAATTGATTCCCGCCCGGGACCTCTAGGACCGCGGTGGAGCAACCAAGGAGTGCAGTGATGTCCAGACCGGTTTCCCTAGCAATTGTCTCAAAAGGAGACGCGAAGTAGCGATTTCTAGGACTCTCCCGAGTCCGGGACCCTTACTCCCGACTCTGAAGGCACTGAACTCCAATGAACCGGACCAAGATAAAGGAGAAATGCGTTAACTATATGAAGAAAGAAAATAAAAAAAGAAAAAAAACAATAAAAACAGCAAAGACAGAGGACAACTTCTTGATTGAAGAGATGTTTCATGGAACAGTAACGAAAGAACTAACCATCCATGAAGAATGGAATCACTATAATGAAAGGATGATAAAAGACCGAAAAGACTTTGTCTTTGTGAAGTTCAATGGCCTTCATTTGAAATCCATGGAACATTTACAGTCTTATATCTCTCTCAGAGTATGCATCTTCTCAAATAATTTTATTACAGATATACAACCACTTAAAAGTTATTTAAAATTAATCAAGCTTGATCTCCATGGAAATCAGATAAAGAATCTGCCAGAAACCAAATTTTGGATTGGACTGAAGAATCTAATACTCCTATATCTCCATGACAATGGGATTGAAAATTAAAGAATATATGTATATTATCTGCTTGTTCTAACCTCATTGCCCTCATTATGTTTGATTGTCCCTTAAGCCTTAAGAAAGGATATAGGCATGTTCTTGTTAATAGTATATGGTCTCTTAAAGCTCTGGATCATCATGTGATTTCTGATGAAGAAATAATTCAGAACTTCCATCTATCTGAAAGCTTCAAAACTTGTAATTCTCGACTTTTCTTTAATTTCTACCCTGCTTTGATAAAGGTAAAACTTTGTGGGGGTTTAATTTTAAATAAATTTATAGATACATGAAAAAAAGAAAGAATTGATTCCCGTGTATGAGCTTTAGCCATACTGGAGTCCCTGCAATTGAAAATGGATGTTTAGAGGCCCAGTTCCTCCTCCTCCTTTCCTGCTCTGACTGACTATACTCTTGTTGTTGTTGTTATGTGCCATCGAGTCGTTTGCAACTCATAGCGACCCTATGTACAACAGCTCTAAATGCTCTTCTATCCTGTGCCAACCAGCCATCTCAAACGCACTTATTCCCATTGCTCCAGTCACAGAATCGATCCATCTCATTGAAGGTCTTCCTCTCCTTCGCCGCCCCTCCACCCTGCCAAACATGATGTCCCTTTCTCCAGGGACCAGTCCGTCCTTGCAACATGCCCAAAATATGTCAGACGAAGCTTCAGAATCCTTGACTACAAAGAGCTTTCCGGCTTCACCTTCCCCAGGACAAACCTGTTTGTTCTCCTTGCAGTCCATGGTATATTCAACACTCTTCTCCAGCACCACAGCTCAAAGACATCAATTCTCTTTCTATCACCCCTAGTCACTGTCCAACTCTCTGATGCATAGCATGTAATTGCGAAGACTATAGCCTGGATCAGGCACACCTTAGTCACCAGTCTGACGTCATTGCTCTTCAGTAGTCTTGAGAGGTTCCTCACAGCTGGCTTTCCCAATGCAATTAGTCTCTTGATTTCCTGGCTGCTGTTACCAAGAGTGTTGATTGTGGAGCCAAGTAAACTAAAACTGTTAACTATCTCAATCTCTTCACCATCCATACTGATGCTGCCAACTGGCCCAGTGGTGAGAATCTTTGTTTTCTGAAGCTCATAGAGGAGGTTGTAGTCCTTTATCTTCTGCAGCAAGCGCTTCAGGTCCTCCTCAGTTTCAGCAAGCAGGGTTGTGTCATCTGCGTAACGATGTTGTTGATGATTCTTCCACCAATCCTGATGCCACATTCCTCTTCGTATAGCCCAGCATCTCGGATGATCTGTTCTGCATACAGATTGAAAAGGTATGGAGACAGAATACATCCCTGATGAACCCCCTTCTTGATTTTGAACCATGTAGTGTCTCCTTGCTCTGTTCTGACAACTGCCTCTTGGTCCAAGTATAAGTTTCGTATTATCACAATCAAATGTTCTGGGATTCCCATTCTTCTCAGTCAGACACAGCTTGTTGTGATCCACACAGTCAAAAGCCTTTGCATAGTCAATGAAGCACAGATAGACATTCTTCAGGTATTCTTTGCTTTCTGCCAAGATCCATCTATCATTGGCTATAATATCCCTAGTACCACGACCTCTTCTAAATCCAGCCTGCACATCTGGCAGTTCTCTGTTGACATTGTTCCAAACGTCAAAAACGTATGATAATTTTCAGCAGAATCTTGCTTGCATGTAATATTAATGATATTGTTCGATAATTCCCACACTCTGTTGGGTCACCTTTGTTTGGAATGGGAACAGATATCGATCTTTTCCAGTCAGTGGGCCAGCTGGCTTTTCTCCAGATTTGTTGGCAGAACTTAGTGAGCACATCCAGGCCAGTGTCATTCTTTAAACTTCCTGGCAGGTTCCCCGTCACCCTAATTTTTTGGCATTGTAATTTCCTCTATGAAGAGTTATTCTTCATTTCTCCAGTCATGTAAGTTAGTAATTGTTCCTTGTTTAGGTCTTTTGCTCAAATGTTACTAAAGCTTTCCTGACTACCCTATTTTAAAACATTCCCTGTCTCTAGTATACATTATTTCTCTTGCCTAGTTTATTTTTCTTTTTTTAAAAAAAATAATTTTAATGAGCATTTACAGAGACTTTGGTTTTCCATTCATTCATTGCTGCACTTCTCTCCCCGCCCAGCCCTCCCCCCTAGTTTATTTTTCTTTAAAGCACTTAACACCATCTGTCATACTGTATGTTTTAGAGATCCATTTCTTATTATTTCTGTTCCATCAGTAAGGAGCTCTGGTGGTACAGTGGTTAACAACTCAGCTGTTAACTGAAAGGTTGGCAGTTTAAACCCACTAGCCCCTCTTTATAGATTACAGCCTTGATAACTTTAGGATGCAGTTTTACTTTGTTCTGTATGGCCACTATGAGTTGGAATCAACAGCATTAGGCTTGATTTTGGATTATATCCTTCCTTTAGAATATAAACTCCATTGGTACAGAGATTTTTTTTTCTTTGCAGAGTTCATTTTATATTTTTTTATTAATTTTAATGAAAGTTTACACAGACTTAGGGTTTCCATTCACTCATTGTTGCACTTTTCTCCCTGACTCCCCCTCCCCCCAATTCGTTCTTTTCTTTGAAAAGTAAAAGAACAATTTTTTTAATTGTTTTGCAATCCCTACGCCCAAGACCACTCCACTGTGCAGCCTTCATTCTGGACTCCTGTCATGACAATAATACCTAATCATATATCCCTTTTAAACAGTTCTCTCTCTCATCTGTTTTAATGCAGTATACATTATTTATCCCCTCTTTCTCAGCTTGTCCTCAACCCCAATGTCAGTCCCATTTTACAACAGTGGCCCTATGCAATATTGGGACAGAGATTTTTGTCATTTTGTCTTGTTGTATCTCTGCCGCCCACAGTAACAACTTGTACATAATAAGAATTGAATACATTTCTGTTGAATGGATGAATAAGTGCTCTCATTCATAATCAGATCATTTCCCTAAGATTACAATATATAGAAGAACTGGAAAAGTAAGTTTCTAATGTTGTTTTTGATTGCCCTTGAGTCGATCACGACTCATAATGACCCTATGAACAAAAGACCTGAAACCTTTCTATAACTATCATCAGTAATCAAAGTTCAGGGGAGCTCTGGTGGCCTAGTGGCAAGAAGCTGCACTGCAATCCCAGAGGAACACGGTTCGAATCCACCAGATGCTCTGCCAGAGAAGGAGGCGCAATATCCTCCTGTACCAGTCAGATCTAATTTGACGGTACACGCACACAAAATAATAATAATAAAAAAAATAATCAAAGTTCATAGAGTTTCCAGAGGCATGTTGTTTAGGAAGAGAATGCCACTCCTCCTTCCAAATCCTCCCACTAGCCCCCACTATCTCCTCTGCATGCCCAGAATTCTCTCCTCGCATCTGCAACCAGCCCTTACCTTAATTGCATTGCCTGAATTTGGAGGCCACTGTAATCAAACTTTCTGCACAAATTCTTTTCACTCATAAACCAAAAACTAACTGGTTTTTAGAATGAGCCAAATAGGAATCAGAGGTTTTGAAATTATTCTGTGGTTTTGCTATTCAGTTTATGCTACTTTTCATTTAAAAACTTAAAAACATCATTCATTTTATACCGATGTTATTTTTCTTTTCTGTAATCTATCATGTGTTTCCCAAATGGATTATGATACATAATTTTTTAAAAAAAAATTTATTGTATTATTTTTACATGTACTGTCAAATCAAATCTGACTGTTACAGTAGGAGATTTGCCCCCTCCTTCTCCAGCGGAGCATCTGGTGGATTTGAACCGCGTACCTCTGGGATTGCAGTGCAGCGTCTTGCCACTAGAGCTCCCTAGATACATAATTTTTATAACTTCATTTAATAATAAAAACTGTACTTCTCTAATATGTTTCTATACTGGTAGTTTGTATGGAAATACAGAGATCAAGACAAGTAGAGTAGAAAACTTAATAAAAACAGGAAAGCAGTGAGAGTTTAGATTAATTTGAAGCCTTGTTGTGATAATTTTATATTATTTGAACTATAACATATGATGTGCCAGAGGTATTTATTGGACCAGTAGTTAGAACCTTTACAATTTGATTGGCGCAGATCTCAAGACAATTGAAGCAGTATTTGCATAAAAATTAAAAAACCCGGCCATGTGGCCGTTGCTTCTATGTGTGTGTGTGTGTGTGTGTGTGTGTGTGTATACAGAGTCCCTGCTCAAGAGCTTGTAATAAAATCCCTCATGTTCTTGCATAAAAAAAAAAATTAAAAACCCTAGTATTTCAGCCATTTAAAATATTAATAGGAAGTAGAAAAATATGTTTTTTAATTTTAATTTTTTTCATTTATAATTCCTAGGCAAAATCATCAACATTACAGACTGCTACTCAACCCTCCACTTCGGTAAGAGGTCCCCCCCCCCTTAAATCTAAGTGTCAGTGTTTTCAAATAAGTTACAGTGCATTGAAATTATATGTGGTCCTTAAAGTATTCCTAATGAAATCCACCCTTCAAGGATTAGAAGTTGAAAAACATTTGGTGCTTAAGTTTGAAGTATTCCTGAAAGTCTTACTGAATTATGCTCTAAAATGCTGAATATTTCCCTTTAACGGGATTGGCATTTATTATCATAGTATGGTAATGCAAATAAACATGTATGTTATATAGATTTTGTAAGCCCTTGGCATTGGCTTTCTGTGTACATTGATTATCATATATTTTTAAATAATGAATTAGATATGTTTTTATGCTTATATATACACCATATAAGGATAGATTGCTAACTGCCTTACTTTATTTCCTCAGAGACCATCTTGGTGGCCCTTTGAGATGTCTCCTGGTGCATTAACTTTTGCTATTATATGGCCTTTTATTGCCCAATGGTTGGTGCACATGTATTATCAAAGAAGGAGAAGGTAATACAATTTGCTAAATTCTAAAATTAGACTAATGTGTAATTTTTTTGTGTTTGCCATTAGATTTTTCATTTGGCTGTTTGTGTGTTAAACTTTTTTAATCTATATACAATAGACTCAGCTTTCAGCAGCAATTAGGAGATCACCTACTCTATCTTTTCAATATAAGCATTGATATGTCAGAAAATTTTCAATTTAGCAATTAGGGAACACTGTAACTGAGGGACAGAATTTCAATTTAGGATAACAAGGAATAATCTCAAATAGGTCAGACAACATCCCAGAGACAACATCCAGATGAGGAATAATCTGAAGCAAACAAAAACTCAGACACAGTCCTCATGGCAGTGGAAGCTTGGCGCCATCCGGCGGTGATTGAGCGAGAGTCTGGTGGTCGGGTGCCCCAGGCTTTACACTCCTGTTGCTTTGCGGTTGTTGAGCCCTTCCCGGCAGGGACAGTGGTGAAGTAGTTTCTGTGCCAGAGCATCCTCCGGAGTTCCTGGTGTTTGCCGCCTTCTGGCAATGGTACACGAATCCCTACAGCAAACACGTCTTGGTGGAAGACATAGCACAACCCTGACCAGAAACTCGTGTCCCAAAGACTCCTGACCAAGACTTAACAGAATGCCCTGCGGGGCTGAGCGACTGTTTCCTTCCAATGATGCTCACTCGGTGTATATCCTGGAGGACTCTATTGTGGACCCACAGAATCACCATGACCACCTTCACCTGGAACATCAACCATGCCCGGCTGATGGTGGTGGAGAAACACTGTGTTTACTCTGATAACAGTGGTTGGACCGAAATTCTGAAATCCGCTGAGAAGCCTGGGTCTCCTCTAGCTTGTTTGGTGACTCCAGAGCTGTCCAGGAATTTGGCCTGGCTCAATTTAAAAGCAACGTGACCAAGACTATGAAGGATTTTTAATGCATCTTGGCCAAGCTACAAGGGGAAGCCCCTTCTAAGACATGTGTTGAAACTGCCAAGGAAGCTAAGGAAAAGACAGAAGAGACAGCACTGGAAGCTACAGAGAAGGCCAAGGATCTAGCCAACAAGGCAGCAACCAAGAAATAGCAGCAGCAGCATCAACAATTTGTGTAGCCATCATAGGCCCTGCACAGCCCTTCTACCACCACCATCGCACAGCAGACAATCCAGCTCCAACCTCCTATCCCCAGTGTGCTCTCTTATTAAAAATCAACATCCAGCCCTATCTGTTGCCTAAGAGATAGGCTGGGGTGAGGCGCAAGGGTCTTCTTTGGCATCTACAGATCAGCAAGCATGTAATCAATGGTCTGTGTTGATTCTGCATATTCCTCCAACTTGGCAGCTGAGGCAGAGAGGCATAGACTTGCCTGGGTCAGTGTGCAAGTGAAGTGGGAAATGCTAGACTGTAAGCTTTGTGAGGGCAGGGATCTTTTGTTCTCTGAAGTGTCCCAAGTATTTGGAATAATATTTAGTATGTAATCGGCACTCCGTAAATAACTGTTGACTTCAGTTAGCCCTAGCTCTGGCTTTGGTTCAAGTTTCTGGCTTTGGTTCAAGTTTTGACTCCACTGTGTCCTGAGTTTGGGCCTCAGGCAGGTAATACCCCTGAGCCCCAACAGTGGGAAGAACTGACTTTGACCTGGAGGGATTAAGTACACTGCCTATCTTAAGATAAGTATCTACTAGTTCTGCTTTTCCAGCTTAGTCTGTGGTTGGGGTTCCCCATTCTCATCAGATAAGAAGGACAAAGGAAATTGTTAAAACAGACTTTTAATGAAAATAAAATCTGTTGCCATTGGAGAAAAAAACCACAACAAAACAATTCATAGATACAAAAGAATTCTAACAGTTTTGTTGGACCCTGTGTAAACAGAAATGCTTTCCACAGAAGAACAGGCCTGGTTCTTGTTTTTACCATTGTTCACCTCACTTTTGACTTTACCTTTTTAGTGTTTCATTACATTTCTTATTAAGTAACTAACATTAGATATAGAGATGAAAAAAAGGCGTTTATTAATAAGCTTTTAAGTGTTCTCTTAAGTACGTGCAATAGAAACACATTGTACAAAATCTACAAGTCTAAATATTTACAAGTATTATTTTCTCTATGAAAGAATCCAAGTTTGCAGTAAGCTTGATAACAAAAGTAGATAGTAAGGGATAATTCTTCTGATGATAATGTTAGTAACCTTGAGCTGTTGATCTGTTCCAACTCACAGTGACTTCTGGCAGCACACAATAGACCTGGTCCAGAAGCTTGGCTCTATTTTTTTTGCAGAACCTGGTTGCGGGATTTGTCTTCTGTAGTGTGCTGGCTTTGTTTGAATTACCAGCCATTAGAGTAGCAGTAGTAAGTACAGATGATTTGTAGTACGCAGAAATCTACTAATAGATAATTAGTAGATAAACAAAATGCATCTGACATCGGTGAATTATTCAGTCTTGTTCTCTTATGTTAAGACAATTTATGTTCATCAACAAATACATTTTCTAAAACAGAAAGCAAAAAACCTAGGAGATATGTGAAGTAGAATATTTAAATTATTTATTAAAACTATTTGTTGGTTTCAGTACTTGATGTTCAATCTGTCCTACAAATTAAATGATGTAATTTCATAATGAGTATTTGTAACTTTGTAGTCTTAATTTTAATATCAGTATTGTTATATTATTCAGATAATTCTTTGGTATAAATTTATTTCATGTTTAGGTGCATTTATACTCATAGGCTTTTTTTGTTTGTTTTAATTTCCTTTTAAAAGAAAATTGAACTGAAGAACATATTCTTTTACTCAAGAAGACTGCTGAGCCCACATGAACTCAGAATGAAGTTGATTATGAATCCACAGGAAGGTTGTAGTTTGTAATGATTACATTTTTTCTGTTGTTCAGTAATTTGGCTTGTGTATATATATACATACATGTATATTTTTTGCACTACACAGATGATAATATTTTAAGGACTAATTCTACTGATACTTGAATAATCAATCTTAAATGTAAGTAGCATACATAGAATTACCCTACTCTTAAACTTGAAGGACATTCATTGTTAATTATTGTTTGATAACATATTTACCTGATTATCTCCCATTTAGAAATACAGGCTGCTTTCCAAGTTACGATTGTAATAATGAGATCAGATTTATGTTACGATTGTAATAATGAGATCAGATTTATAAGTGGATATTTTAATTTTCTAAATTAAATAGTAGAAATAATGCAAACCATGAATTAATTTCAAATGAGATGAAATTGATTTAATAACCTAGTCACTGAATTACCATGTCAAGAAAGGAAATTGCTGGGAGAATCCTCTCCACAGTTCTCTTCAGAGGCGAGGCTGTCAGAGTACTTACTTCATCCTTAATCTGTCCTTGGCAGTTTAAATGGTGGTAGGGCATCTTTATAATAAAGTAGGGTCCTATGCATTAGGTTCAAGTTTTACCAGTGATTCACAATGGATAATGAACTTAATGTAAATATGAAAGTGTATCGTAAGCTTGCAAACCATTAATAAGATTTTTATTCAATCACCTACATTTATTCATTTGTAATAATTTTTCTTCAACTGAGGATATCTAGTTTCTGCTTCATAGGGTGCTTTGAAATATGTACAATAAAAACTTATTTATACTGTTTTTACAAAAGTTGACAAGAAAACACACGAAAAACCACTTTTCTGCAACTGGAAAATGACAGACTGGATTTCTAACCTCTTAGTGCCTCAATTTTTCTTTCGGGATATAATCTATACGATACACATATTTCACAGGAGTATTTGGAAGGATTTGCAAACGAGCTGGCCAGAAAATCTCATATGAATAAGGCATTCCCAAACAATGTATAGTTAAGCCCTTTTCTTCCTACGTCCATATTTAGTCTAGGAGGTTTTTTGTTTAGAATTTTGAATGCCTTATTTAGAAAATGATTCTTCCTATAGAGTTTCATTCCAAAATTCTTTGTTAACTTACTGTATTTTTGAAATATAACACATTAATTATTAATACATGGAAATTAAAACACACACACACACACACACACACACACACACACACAGTAAAACCATTCAGAGCATCATAGGAAACTAACATTCAAGAGAGTTGCAGTTTGCAAACAATAATGTGCAAGTTGTTTGCATAAAAATGCTTTAAATTTATTTTTCAAGATTTCTCTGACTGAAAGGCTTTGTAACAAATAATTTTTAAACATTCTTAATTATGTATAATTTTGGGCTTAACATCATGTAGTTAGGGTATTATAAATGAGTAAAAAAGTAATTCATCCATAGTAGATAGGGAGGTTCTTTGCCTGATAGAAAAGTGAGAATATGATATACGTTTCCCAACACTTTTTCTTTCGTGTAACTTGATGTTTTTTATTTTTAAACTGTTTGAGTAAAATATATGTCTAAAAGTATATACTGATACTTGCTTTAAAAGCAAAAAAAAGAAAAAAGTCTGTTTATTTAGGAACAAAATGAAGCACGTAACCCTTCTAAGTAAAAATAAATTCTATTCCTGTGATCAGGCATTATTTTAAAAAATTAGATATCTATTTGGCATCAGAAAATGATGGGTGTTTTTTTTGTTTATAAATAAACAGTGCAAATTCAGAATGTTAGTAGTTGTGATTCATTAAAAGCAATCAGGGGTCACTAACTTTTAGGGATAAACATTTATATCTTGTTTGGAACTCTTATTTATAGTTTTAAAAGCACTTTGCACACAATTCTTGTATATAAAAATAAAGATGTAATTATAGAATATAATGTTAACTGCTTTGGTTAACAAGAACCTCATTTTAAATTACAGCTTTGGTATTTTTTAATGATCCACTTCTTTTCTGTTTCTTTATTGTACAACTAAATTAAAAATAAAAAATAATGAAAAAAGATATTTATTATTTATTTCTCCTAGAAGTATATTTTGATTGTGTACAGAAGCCAGGAAATCAAAAAACGTATTGCGATGGGAAAGTCTGCTGTTAGGGACCTCTCCAAAATACTCAAGAGCA